ACTTGGGCAGAACTGGACAGTGATGCTGACCTGTTTTACACGACGACATGCCAAGCCAGACGGGGCCTCTGGGAGGGCAATTATTTGGATTCATCTCTGTATCCCTAACACCTGGCTACTGCTTGGAAGATAACTGTATTGAAAGAATAAAGGAAAGTCACAGTTTAGTGAGGAAGACAGATACATAAACACGTGTATGTATGTATCTGTTATGTAAGTGCTGTGATAAAGACTTCAGGAAGCATTGAGAGAACAGTAGAGGAAAAGGGACCTGAAACGCAAGGGATTTCCTGAGGCAACAGCAGGACTAGGGCATAAGTCTTGACTCCAGAGTGCCATTGGCGTAGATAGATGCCCTTGAGAGTGTCTGCCCAGCCCCTGCTGCTCTCTCTGCACTGGGTCCCTGGCTGTCCTCTCAGACTCAGTTGATGGGCTCTTGGTGAATGACCCAGACTGGGCAATGGGTTCTCCCTCCCATGATTGGCTGTGGGATTCAGAGATGCTAGTCCATTTTTACTAGTCACCTGATCTGAGGACCAAGAGCTACTCATGTTTAGCTGTGTGTTCAGAGACATGGAAGATGGTGAGGCCCAGAGGGGAAGAGATGCTTCCTGGCTGCTCAGTGGCTTTTAAGATCCCAACACCCGTTCCTTGAGGTCTGATTGCCCCTTACCCTTGGGTTCCATGTGACACCTCTGAAGACTTGTGTTAAATTCCTCTCTTTTGATTAAGCTTGCCTGAGTGTTTTCTGTTCTGAGCAACCAAGAGTTTTGGCTAACATTATCCTCATTGATGTCACCGCTATGATGGCAGTAAACATGTCCACAGCTGTTACAACGTCCCAGCCTTTGTTCTGAGAGCTTACCATGCAATAACTTGTTACATCCTCAACATTCCTATCAGGTAGGTGCAACTACTGTCCTTCGTTTTCAGATGAAGAAACTGAGGCACAGAGAGGTCAAGTAACTTGCTGTGGCCATATAGCTAGGCAGTGGTGGAGCAGGGAGGCATTTCTAGACAGAGCCATGTCCAACATTGCAATTTTATATTTTGTTGTGCAAAAGTGTGCGTGTGTGTGTGTGTGTGTGTGTATGTGTATGTGTATATTTTATCCCATTCTCCTGGAAGAATGTAGTAGTTCTAAATGCCAGACACCGTGAGGAGCCCAGAGTGAGTTCCTTCTCCTGACATGAGGCTGAGTGGCTGGGAGCCCAGCCCACTTTGTCCGCCCCACAGGTCCTGCCTTTCACTTTGCCGGGCCTGGCAGAGGAAGCGCGGGAAGGAGCTGCCGAGCCAGGTACAAGGCTTGGCGGCAAAGCTGCTTGTGCAGCGGGAGACCAGAGCCGCGCCCTGGCACCTGGCAGGCAGCCCAGCCCTACTGTTGAGAAAATACCTGGAACAAAGGAGCCCTCCCGCCACAACTGGCCGCCTCTCCTTGTGCCTGGAGTGCCTCAGCTGACAAAGCTGACCTCTGGGACAGGCCAGGTCGGGTCCTTACATGGCCTCAGGAAGCTGCAGAAAGGCCTCAGTGCCCAGCCTAGAACACTTTCTTGGCTGCTCTGAGTGGTGGGCATCTCAGAGGAAGGCCCTCATCTCACTCCACACTGCATGAGTTCCAGGTCAATTTCCACCCAGAGGCTCTGCTGGGCTGTCTGAACTGTTACTGCCACCCTCCCCTGTGGTGTCCAGAGCAGGTGGTTTCACAGCTCTGGGGCTTGGAGTCTCCCCAGCCAGGAGGTCCATCTTGTAGCAGTGGCTTGTCAGAGGTTCAGACTGTGTGTCTGTGGTGAATAATCAATGGCCCTGTAAAGGATTTGGGCATAACCCACAGCAGGCATATGGGGGAGTAAACCTGGCCTAGGGGCCTGAGAGAATGGAAAGTGGAGAAGACTCTGGAACCCCAAAGGGTGGTGGTGTGTTTCTTGTTGGCCGTATCTTGAAGAAAGCACCAGAAGCTCATCAGAGAGGATATGACCAGTTCCTTCTCCTTCCTTCCTTTTTCTCATGAGCAAGACATCAGGGCATGGATCTGGACAAGAGACCACCTCATCATGGCAGCTCTCCCATTCAAATAAGGACTGGCCCAGAAGCCCCTGGCCCAACTCCCAGCCCCAGGCCAGCATCCAGCCTTATCCCAGCCTTGTGCTTTAGTGACCACTGCCATCAGGGCCACTGCCAGCCCATGTGGTACTTGTGAGGACTCAGAAAAAGAAATTGTCCCTCTGGGTGGGCACAGCCCTCCTCCAGGGCACCCAGCAGTGCCAAGTGGAACAGGGTGTAGAGCTGGACTACAATCCCCACTTGCTTCTCATCTATATGACCTTGTACAGACACAACCTGCACCGTCTTATCCAGGGGCAATGCTTATTAGGTATTGACCATGGTCCTCAATCCTCATGGCCAAACCCCTAACCTGGATATTCACTGGGGTGGACAAAAGGAGATCACAGCAAAGGTGGCCCCTCTTCACTGGCCCAAATGCACTTTACACAGCAAGGCAAGGACTCAGGAGGGGTCATCTCGAAGTAGCTCCCAACACCACTGGCAGGAGACTTCCCGGGAAGAACCATTTGGCCCTGGAGTAGTCCTTGAATGAGGCAGCTCCCAGGCCTGTGGGTAGTCTGGAGGCTACTCTGAGAGCAAAATGCTGTTCAAGCGATGCTCTGACCTCCAATGGGTGATTCTGTGTGGAAGATAAAGCAAGCTCTGGTCAGGCAGAGGTGGCACTGAGACTGCACCCTCAGGCCTGGCTTTCTGTAGCCTGGATTCACTGCCCAGTGCCTAGACCCAGGAAGCCCATAGGCTCTAAGCCTGGCAAACCTCAGTTTCTGCTTGTTCCACTCCCCGTTATTTGCCCCAGGATCCAGGGCATGGTACCCCGTGCTCACTACAGGGCCAGGATCAGAGTGCATCCTACACAAATAGATGAATGAGTAAAAGAATTGTCCAAAGGAAGAGGCCCCTTTGAGGCAGGTATGAGCACCATGGCCTGGAGTCCCGGGATTCCCAGCTCCTGGCTGTGGGACACTGTGAGCTCACTTCCTCTTCCTTAGAACAGGCATACATGATTGACACCTGCCTCCTTTGGGTGCCAGGCAAATTGCCATTGACAATAAAATAGCAGCAACAACAATACAGCCACCACTTCTTGAGAACTTCCTCTGTGTTAGGTGCTTTTCATGAATCCTCACAATAGACCTATGAGGGAGGCGCTGTCCCCATTTTACAAAGAACTTAGGACTTAGGGGTGATGGGCCTTGCTCAGAAGATGGCAGCTGTGTCCTTTCTGTGTGCGCACAGTGTGGGCTGTGCGGAGCCACGGGTGGCTGTGGAGTTCACAGCTGGGTCAGAGCCCTGGCCACAATCCAGCATCCATGCCCACCACGTCTACCCCCAGGTGCTGAGGGTCACCTGAGTCTAGGGCCAGGGTCAAAGCTGCTGGGAAGTTGGGAGTCTTGGGCTCTGGTCTCACTTCTGCTCCTGATCGGCTCTGCCACCTGGGTTGGCCACTATCCCTCCCTGGCCTCAGTTTATCCTATTGTAAAGTGAGAGATAGGGGTCCCAGATCCCTTGATCACCAGGATCTCTGGCCACAAAGAAAGGCTAAGGGAAATTCAGGAAAACATGGAGCCTGTATCTGAATTCCTGGCTTCTCTCTGCCCCCTGGTGGACACTAGCAGCCCAGCACCCAGGAGAAAGTGACAGACTGAGCACAGTGACTCCGAGGGACTTGGGGACTAGCTAGCTTTGTGACTTCTGCCAGGGTTCCCACTCCTCTGAGTCCCAATCCCCATCTGTTAAATGGGGATAATAGTACCAACATCATCAGGATCTTGTGAGGATTAAGTGTAATAAGTATGAAACTCTTGAGCCACATACATAGAATGTGCCCAATAAATGTTAACCATTTTCATGACCTCTCCTTCTCCTGCACCTCCACATGCAGATTCTTGATCCTTTCGCATCCTCTCTACCCCATAGCTCAGGCCTCACCATCTCCCTCCTGGATTCCTCCAATAGCTCTGCTGCTTTCCCACACACACACTCCTCCAGCACTCCTGCACCTCCCCTCAGTGACCCCACCTGCCCACACCACAAGACCAGACCTACAAATACCCCTTACAGTTGTCCAAGACCTTCAAGCGGCCCTCAGGGACCCTGCCCACCTCTGCAGTCTTCATCATCCTTCACCTTTCTGCTCTTGTATTTTTTTTTTAATTTTTTATTGGGGAACAGTGTGTTTTTCCAGGACCCGTCAGCTCCAAGTCAATTAGTTGTTTCAACCTAGTTGTGGAGGGCGCAACTCAGTGGCCCATGTGGGGATTGAACCAGCAATCTTGGTGTTATGAGCACTGCGCTCTAACCAACTGAGCTAACCGGCCACCCCTGCTCTTATATTCTGACTACACTCAGCTTCCAGCATCCCCCCCGCCCCCCGCTCAGGCCCAGAGGTCCTGCCTCCCTCACTGAAAGGTTACTTTTTTTTTTCTTTTTAAAAATATTTTATTGGGGAATTTGGGAAGGGGAACAGCACTGGGAAGTTGGGGAAAGGAGAACAGACAAGTTGCTGTCGTTTTTTTCTTCAGTCTAGTTGTGGAGGATGTTGCTTCACTAGCCCAAGTTGGCACCATCATTGCGCTCTTCCCAGGCGAGGCAGATGAGTCGCTGGCCTCTGGACAGCCACTCACACCGGCTGCCAGCCACTCATGCTGGCTGTCGGCCACACACAGTAGCTTATGACAGCCCACTGCAGCAGGGGCTGCAGCCTACGCCGTTGCTGGCAACTCACGGTACCCCAGCTCCAGGTCGAGCTGTTCACTATCTTAGCTGTAGAGGGTGCAACGTCATTGGCCCTCATGTGGGATCCAAACCGGGGCCCTGCTGCTCAGAGGTGGCATCCGAAGCCATCTCTTAACCAACGTGCCACTTGGCCGGCCCCGAGAGGCTACTTTAATGATATTTTCTTCCCTTTCCCCACCTCTACCCCAAACCCTCCCTAGGTCTCAGTTTCCTCATCTGCCAAATCAGATGATTGTGAGGATGAAAGAGATAATACACTGAAGTATTTGGCACATGCCAGCCGCTCGACAGAAGCCAGGTGCCTACAGTTGGGATGGAGGATTCTGTCTTCGGTGCAATGGGAAGTCACACTTGCCATTTGGGGTGGGGGTAGGCATGGGATGTAATGAGAGCTCTGAGGCCCCACCACCATCTCAGCAGCACTCTCTGAGCAGTGAGCTCAGACGAGGCCTCTGCGTAGAGCACAGAGCTTGTTTGGCCCCTCAGTATGACCTCGCTCTCCCCGCGCGACTGCAGGACCAAGTGGAGAACAGGCCCTCTGCCTCGGGGTCTCAAGAAGCAGCACTTCAACTGAAGTTCTGACAGCCCTGACCCCAGTTTCAGAGGAGGGAGACACCTGACAGGAGGCAACACCTTTCAACCCTCTGTCAGGGCTGAGGCCAGAGCAGAGGGGCGGAGTCCTAGAGCCTGAAGAGAAAGTAGGGCAACCAGTGAGGGGAGGCTGCCAGGGGTCTTCCAGGCCACTTGGGGGAACTGAGATCAGGATTATTAGGGGAAGTAACTTCCATAGGGTTATGTAGAGCATTCATTAATTCAACACTTGTAAAATGCGGTTGAAAGTTTTGGCTCAATAATTAATTCACAACATTTAAGAAACCATATATAGAATGATATGCTTTAAGAAGTCTTCCCAAAAAGGAAAAAAAAAGAAAAAGAAAAACAAAACAAAAAAAAGTCTCCCCAACCTCTGTCTAAATTTTACCTCTTCCATCCCCTATAAGTAATCACTTTTATTAGTTTCTATGTATCCTCTTCATGTAAATAAACACAAGCAATTATGAGTATACATTCTGATTCCACCCCCTTTTTACTCAGGAGAGCATACTGTGTTCTGCGTTTTACCTTTTCACTTAACAATTGTATCTTGTAGCTTAATCAGTCCTTAGAGAGGTTTCTTGTTCTTTTTCTCCTGTCTAGTATTCCATGGTGGGCTGTTTCATAGTTTATGTAGACAGTTCCTTCCTTATTAACAGACACTTGGGTTGTTCCCAGGCTTTTGCCATCACGAGCAATACTGCGACGAATAGCCTTGCGAACGTACACAGGGCTGATGAGCAGGCAGGAGAAGCCTAGGCCGGTGAGCAGTGTCACAGTAGGACCATCCTCAGCCTTCTTTACAGAGAGCACTCTGCATTTCAGAAGCATCACCAGTTTAAGTTTATCATTATCCTCTTAATTATCTACTTGCTACTGCTTGGAAATATTGTAGTTTTCACTGAGCTTTTATTGGTTCATTTTAATCTTGTTAATTTGGAGGCAGGCAGTGCTTCGATATTTGCACATTTAAGATCGATACTAAAGCTTTTAAACACACCAAAATGAAGAGACAAGATCAGGATATTTCTTCATGTTCCTTTTAAATGCTTAAGTATGAATCTTCTTTTTTTTTTTTTTAAAGATTTTATTGGGGAATTGGGGGGAGGGGAACAGACAGGTAGACAAATTGCTGTTCTTCAGTCCAGTTGTGGAGGACGTTGCTTCACGGGCCCATGTTGGTATGATCATTGTGCTCTTCCCGGGTGAGGCAATCGGTCGCCGCCGGTCATTGGTTAGCTGCTCACAGCGGCTCCCGGCAGCCCACGTAGCTCACTGCAGCCCCGCTGCAGCCTACACTGTCACCTTGCCGGTGACTCACAGCAGCCCAGCTCCAGGTCGAGCTATTGTTCATCATCTTAGCTGTAGAGGGCGAGCGTCACTGGCCCTCAATGTGGGATCTGAACCACAGCCCTGCTGCTCAGAGCTGACATCCCAAGCGAGCTCTTAACGAGCTGAGCCACTCAGCCAGCCCAATCAATATGAATCTTCTTTTTCTGGGAGTAAGGAGAAAGAAGAAATGACAATAATAGTCATATCCTGGAGTATCTTTTATTACTGTGCCCAAATCTGAAGAGCCTAGAATATTTATTAGCATGCAAGAATCAGTACAAAAGAAAACAAATAATTAGTATTTCTGGAATAAAAAACAAATTTATAGACTTGTGCTTTAGGTTATGATGGACTGGGGAATTCTGATCAATCCTATTCCTGAGGACAACTAGAAAAGATAGACAAAATCATTTAAAAATCATTCTATGTAACAGCTGTGATGGATTTAAAATATGTCCATAAGTTCATGAAACTCCTCTTTTTTAAGAGGTAGAACCTAATTTCCCCTCCTTAGAGTGTGGGTCAGACGTCACAGCTTACTTCTAATGACAAGAATAAAGCGGAAGTGACTGAGCATCTGGACCATTAAAGAGATTGATGTTTCCCGCTTGCTTTCACTATAGGATGACTCACTCTGGGAGAAGCCAACTACCATATTATGAGGACACTCAAGCATCCTTATGGAGAGGTCTACAAAATGAAGACACTTAGGCCTCCTGACGACAGCCAGCACTGTCTTGCCAGGTGTGGGCGCACCACCTTGGAAGTGGATCCTCCGGCCCCAGAGGGCAGTGTCGCTGGCCCCCATGTGGGATCTGAACCGGGGCCCTGCTGCTCAGAGCTGGCGTCCCAAGCCAGCTCTTAACCAATGTGCCACTCGGCTGGCCCCTGAAGTAATACATTTTAATTTAATATTTTAAATAGCTGCTCAATTTAGTAGTCATTTGTTACTCAGTAATAGATAACTAACGTGAAGACAGTGATGTGCTCACAAGTTAGTAAAGAATTACAACTGGGGCAAGACTCTTGGGAGTGTCTTTTCTCTGAGGGGGCAGCTGAGAGGCTGAGAAGTACAGTAAGTCCTCACTTAATGTCCTCAATAGGTTCTGTGACCTTAAGTGAAACGATATGTAATGAAACCAATTTTACCATAGGTAATGGATACAACCAAGAGTTAAGCTCATATGGCATCTCATCAATGTTATAATGAAACAACATTGAACAAAACGATGTTATTCAAGGACCTGCTGCACTTCCACAAATTGGCGGGGGAAGTGGGACAAGATTTGGAGTCAAGGAAACAGTACAAATGTCTACCAACTAGTGAATGGCTAAACATAAGGTGGTATGTCTATATGATGGAATATTATTCGGTAATTAAAAAGAATGAAGTGCTGCTACATGATACAACATAGACAAGCCCCCAAAACATTGTTAAGTGAAAGAAGCCAGGCACAAAATGTCATATATTGCATGATTTCACTTTTGTGAAATGTCCAGAACAGTCAAATCTGAAGAAGAAAAGTAGGTTAGTGGTAGCCCAGGGCTGCAGATGGGATTGGGGATAAACTGCAAATGCATGTGACATTTCTTTCTTTTGGGGGTAATGGAAATATTCTAAAATTATATGGTGTGATGGTTGCACAACTCTGTAACTGTATTCAAAATCGTTCAATGGTACACTTAAAATAGGTGAATTTTACGGCACATAAATTACACCTCAAAGTGTTAAAAATAAACAAGGCAAGCATTCAATTTAAGATGGTGAAAAAGAACAATAAAACAAACCCCTAAAAACAGGAAGGAAGGAAACAATAAAGATAAAGTCAGAAACCAAGGAAAGAGAACAAACAAAAGAAAGAAAAATATTTTAAACTTGGTATTTTGAAAGTTATTAATAAACTATATACGGCTGCTGAGTTTTTTATCCAGACATGGGTTAATTATCACAGGGACCATGCATCTATTTACATACAGCTTAAGCAAACAACTTTGGCTTCCAATAGAAAACATGTTTTATAAATTTGTAGTCATTACATTCTTCACTGATGACAGGGCTGCCATCTCAATTGTAGAACCTGGCTTCATTTGACTGGCTAGGCTATACTTGCCACTGTCCAAGCACTTCTCACGTATTATCTCTTTGCATCCTCACAACAGTGCAAAGAGGTAGGTATTATTATTATGCACATTTAAAGATGGGGATTGGGACTCAGAGGAGTGGGAACCCTGGCAGAAGTCACAAAGCTAGCTAGTCCCCAAGTCCCTCGGAGTCACTGTGCTCAGTCTGTCACTTTCTCCTGGGTGCTGGGCTGCTAGTGTCCACCAGGGGGCAGAGAGAAGCCAGGAATTCAGATACAGGCTCCATGTTTTCCTGAATTTCCCTTAGCCTTTCTTTGTGGCCAGAGATCCTGGTGATCAAGGGATCTGGGACCCCTATCTCTCACTTTACAATAGGATAAACTGAGGCCAGGGAGGGATAGTGGCCAACCCAGGTGGCAGAGCCGATCAGGAGCAGAAGTGAGACCAGAGCCCAAGACTCCCAACTTCCCAGCAGCTTTGACCCTGGCCCTAGACTCAGGTGACCCTCAGCACCTGGGGGTAGACGTGGTGGGCATGGATGCTGGATTGTGGCCAGGGCTCTGACCCAGCTGTGAACTCCACAGCCACCCGTGGCTCCGCACAGCCCACACTGTGCGCACACAGAAAGGACACAGCTGCCATCTTCTGAGCAAGGCCCATCACCCCTAAGTCCTAAGTTCTTTGTAAAATGGGGACAGCGCCTCCCTCATAGGTCTATTGTGAGGATTCATGAAAAGCACCTAACACAGAGGAAGTTCTCAAGAAGTGGTGGCTGTATTATTGTTGTTGCTGCTATTTTATTGTCAATGGCAAGTTGCCTGGCACCCAAGGGAGTCAGGTGTCAATCATGTATGCCTGTTCTAAGGAAGAGGAAGTGAGCTCACAGTGTCCCACAGCCAGCGAGTGGTGGAGCTTGAGATTCTGGGACTCCACGCTCTGAGCCCAGCCCAGAGGTGAATGAGGGACAGCTGTCATGCCATTACCATACCTCTTTCAGTCGGTACAATTAGGATCCCATCTCACACACAAGAAGTCAGTTTGAGAGAAGTTAAGTGCCACACGGGTCACACGGCTGGTGTGGAGCTTTGATAAGAGTTCCTGTCTGTCTTGACTTCAGAGCCTGTGTTCTTTTTTGTTTGTTTATCAGGGAATTGAGGGAAGGGGAACAGACAAATTACTGTCCTTTTGTTCTTCAGTCTAGTTGTGGAGGACGTTGCTTCACTGGCCTAAGTTGGCACCATCATTGTGCTCTTCCCTGGTGAGGCAGATCAGTCACCGGCTTCTGGACAGCCGCTCACAGCGGCTGCTGGCTACACACGGTAGCCCATGGCAACCCACTGCCACAGGGGCTGCAGCCTATGCCATCGCCGCCGGTAACTCAGGCAGCCCAGCTCCAGGTTGAGCTGTTGTTCAGCATCTTAGCTGTGGAGGGCAGTGTCACTGGCCATCATGTGGGATCCGAACTGGGGCCCTCTGGTGTCCCAAGCCAGCTCTTAACCAACACGCCACTCGGCCGGCCCCAGAGCCTGTGTTCTTAACTATTATTTTGCCCTCAGCCGTCACCCTCTACTGCAGGAGTGTATAAGTAAGTAATCAATGTAGACTTTCTGTCATTAGGGTGTGTCTGTGTGCATGGTCACTGGCCTATTAGTGTCAGAGATACTCTATACCTGTCCCCTGCACTCTGCTTAGTCCATTCTAGAGTTGTTTGAGTAAAAATGTCTAGAAATTACTCTTAGTCATTTTTTTATTGTGGTAAAATATACATAACAAAAATTACTGTGTTAATCATTTTTAGATGTACAGTTCAGTGGCATTAATTATAATATATTCACATTGTTGTGTAACCATCACTACTGTCCATCTCCAGAGCTTTTCATCATCCCAAACTGCAATGCTATTCCCATTAAAAAATAGCTCCCCAGAATTAAAAAAAATAAAAAATAACTCCCCACTCCCAGCACCCCATTTTCTGAGCAAGGCTCATCCCTAAGTCTACTTTCTGTCTCTGAATTTGACTACTCTAGGTATCTCATATAAGTGAAATCATATACTATTTGTCCTTTTGTGTCTGGCTTCCTTAACTTAGCATGTCTTCAAGGTTCATCCATGTTATAGCACGTGTCAGAATTTCCTTTTTTAGGGCTGAATAATATTCCATTGTATGTATATCCCACATTTTGCTTATTCATTCATCTGTGATGAGTATTTGAGTTGTTTCCACCTTTAGGGCATTGTGAATAATACTGCTATGAACATTGATTTACAAATATCTATTCAACTCCCTGCTTTCAGTTGTTTTGGGTATATACCCAGTAGTGGAACTGCTGGATCATATGGTAATTCTGCTTAACTTTTTGAGGAGCCACCATGCTATTTTCCACATCAGCTGCACCATTTTACATTCTCACCAGCGTGCACAAGGATTCCAATGTCTCCACATCCTCACCAACACTTATTATCTGTGTTGTTTTTTTTAATAACCATCCTAATGGATGTAAAGCGGTCTCTCAATGTGGTTTTGATTTTCATTTTCCTAATGATTAGTAATATTGAGTATCTTTTCATGTACTTACTGGCTATCCATACATATTCTTTGGAGAAATGTCTACTTAAGTCCTTTGCCCATATATAAATTGGTTGGTTGTTTTACTGTTGAGTAGTAATTCTTTATGTATTCTGGATATTCTGGGTATATGATGTCCAAATATTTTCTCCCATTATGTGAGTTGCCTTTTTACTCTGTTCATAGTGTCCCTTTGATACACAAAAGTTTTAAATTCTGATAAAGTCCAAAAGTCCAGTTGATCTGTTTTTTTCTTTTATTGCCTGTGTTTTTGGTGTCAGCTTGATAACTTTTAACTGTTTTTCTAACCATGCTAACACGGAGGTCCCTCTCTCTATAAAGTTCAAGGAATATTTCCCTTCAGTGCGGCTGTTCATAAAAGAATCCCTAAAAACAGCGAGGTTTGTGTGTACTTCTCTCAGGCAGCACAAGCTGGAGGAGGCCCTGCTGTTTTCAGGCCAGTTCACGGACGCTTTGCAGGCCTTGGTCGACTGGCTGTACAAGGTGGAGCCGCAGCTGGCCGAGGACCAGCCTGTGCACGGGGACCTCGACCTCGTCATGAACCTCATGGATGCCCACAAGGTAAGCGGTGAGATCTGGGCAGCATGGAGGGCAGAGCCACTGGGGCCTCCACCTGTGTGTGCCCTCTGCTCATGCGAACCTTCCAGGGGAGAAAGGAAATTGCTCATCGGAGGGGCGGCTTCCTGCTCTGTGTGTTAAACAAAGTGCTGCCAGGATTCTGCGTTGGTCACAGAGAACTGACCAAAATTGGTTAGATTCAGATTTGGCAGTGTGTAAACTTCACTTGGAGAGGTCCCCCCGACTCCCGCCTCTACTCTCATCCCTCCATTCATCCATTGGTGTCACTCACATAGGTCACAAAATGGATTTAATTTCAGGTGGAAACCTTCAAAGTTACCCATTTTCATTGACTCCCAAAATAAATGTGAGAACTTTTTTTTAAGCTTTTAAAAAATTTTTTTATTATGAAATACACATTTTTTAGAATTAGTTTCAGCTGTACAACACAGTGCAATAGTTATACTTTTTACCCCTCGAAGTGACAA